ACTTTAGACGGGTAATCCTCCGGTGGTCGTTGCGCTGGAACCCCCATCCCCTATACTACTGACCTCGATAAATTCGGAGCTAATCAATCTTAGTTGCTGGCTCAAGGCAAACAAATTAAGCTTGAACATTACCAAAACTTAATTCATGGTCACAGGCTCACGGCAAAAGCTAATTACCCAGTTAAATGATGATATTCATTTTAATATCGATAACAAAGAAATCAAGAAGGTCCGACCCTATAATAGACGGTAGCCTCTCTTGGTCTGCTCATGTTGAGGAACTATGTAAAAAATATCCATAGCTATTGGAGTTCTAAAAAGATTCAGACCTTTTATCTCTCCCTCTATTGCTGTCCAGATTTGCAATGCTTTAATTCTCCCTCATTTCGACTATCGTGGTACAGTATGGCATGGATTAAGCTGCCAATTAAGTGACAAATTACGAAAGCTACAAAACCGTGCAATTCGGACTTGAAGACAAACAAGACTTCGATCGAAGAGCTGCTTTATTGTGATATTTTATAATTGTCATAGATAAGTTTTTGTGTGTGTGTTTGTAACGTGTCCAGATAAAATAGTCAAAAATCCGAATATCTTAGTCATATACATTGAGTGTGATCGTCGGTTTACTCGAGAAAAAGATTTTACGAGAGGTATGTATATAAGAAAACCAAGGCATGATTCAGAACACCAAGTTTTCTGGAGTATTGAATTCGAATACTTAAGGTGAACGACACATTTTTACTGCGTTTTGAATAGTAAAGAACGACCTTCGGTTAGGGTGACGTTTTCGACATCAGAATATTATCGAAAATTTGGCTTTTCACACAGTGTAACACAAAAACATCAATTTGCAATGTCCTTTAAAGCTGAGTAGAATCTATATAGTTGCTCTACAAAGACAGAGTCACTTTGAGTCGCTTAGAATTTTTTTTTTTTTTTTTGAGGACTCATCTAAATTTATAAAATGCATGGCATTTACTCCGTGCCTGGCAGTCTGTAATCATGGTATCATAAAAGCATTAAAATAGCAACACCTTAGCCGATTTGGCCTATATTTGATATAGTATCGCGAATATCCTATAAGTCATAGCATTTGATTGACCGAGAAAATGGCACGGCCTTTTGGCATCGACGTTCGGCTCCTAAATGCGATGGTTCACATCTCAGAACAAAAAATGTTTTCTCCTTTTTTTCCTTTTTACTTGACAAAAAGTAAGTTCTTTTATACTGAAAGATGCTTCTCATATTATTTCACAAATTCTGACAGTAATGAATAATAAGTCCCTTGTTGAAGGCTGTTTCCCGAAATTTGGAAATCGGTCTCATTTTTGTTTAAAATTGGCGATAAGTCATCAAAGGATGATTGTAGACCAATATCTATCCTGCCCACTGTAAGCAAAATTATAGAAAAAGCTGCTTATTCTCAGCTTTATGCCTATTTGGAAGATATTAACAGCTCAACATAAAAGCTCAACAACAAAAGCTTTATTCAGCTTCACCAATAATCTCATCAAAAAGATAAATAATGACCAATCAAAAGAAGTGGTTTTCTTGGATTTGCGAAAAGCGTTCGAAACAGAAAACCACACTATAGTTATTAAGAAACTTAAACTGCTGCTGGGTGTTAAAAGAAATGATTTCATTCATATTTTAGCGGCAGGACGCAAAGAACAGTTTGGACTTAAGAGATGTCCCCTGCGGCTAAGGTATCTATTGGTGTTCCGCATGGGGTACATACTTGGACCTGGTATACAACAATGGGGTACGTAAAAAGAAAAAAACATTAAAAGAAAATTAATTAAATATAGAAAAAGAAAAAGCAAATGATTAAATCTGAACAACACTTATTGGGTCATCACAACTGGTGTGTCACAGGTAGACCAATAATAAGAACTGTCACGTCACGTGTCATACAGCTTGCACCACGCTCACTTCTTGTTTGGTCATTACTTATAGAAACGCTGTTCAAGAGAAGAAGAAGACTAAATTGGCGTGAGTTAAAGATTTTTATTGAAGTCTTTATATGAAAAATGGAATTACAGATCACTGAAAAACCACAGGATGCGCAACCTCATTAAAAGTTGTTCTTTGGGTTTTTGTGTTGAAGTGCTTTTTAAATAACAGTAATAAACCAACATTATACCTTGCTATGCAAGTTTCTACTCAATTCTCTAAACCAATATTGTCGGCTCAGAATTACCACGCCTGGTTGGCTCATAGCATTTGATTTGACTACGGGAATAGCGCTTATTGGGGATTGAGGACTGGCTTCTAAATGCAACGCGTTCACATAGGAATGTCATCATCTCTATCAGAAAAAAAAAATTCATTTCTTTTTCAACTTTATGGCACAAATTATTTCCTGACGATGTGGAACATTACAAAAGTTTTATATACACTAAACAAAACTTAGGCATTGGTTTATAGATTGATAGTAGCTGAATTGGACATTTTTTCGAAAGCAGGTGAGCCCATGATTTTACCCACCGCTTACTAGTTTTTTCAGCCTTGTACATTTATAATATCATCAGAAAAACACATAAGCCCAAAAAACTGCTCTTGGGTTCCTTGTGTTGCGCATCTTTACTAAACTAATATGGTTAATATGCTGCAAAAAATGATCTTTAATTGGCAAAGCGCGCGGAAACGAGCAAGGAACTTAGGTGAGTTTTAAAGTGCCTATCAAGCCTACAGGATTTTTTCCTGATTTTAATGCTCTTATAGAATAAATAAGAACGGCTTTTCCTTTCTTTATGATATCTCTTTTCGTTGCCAAGATATTCAATATAGAAATCACGAAATGATGTAGTCAATCGAGGATCCTTATAAAAAGTTAATTCATCAAATAGAGAAAATCTCTGTGAGAACTAGCTCATAGTGAAACTTATGTTGGTTATAGTGCACTATGACCACCAAAAGTTTCAGTCAATTCGTCGAGCTAATTGTGTTGTCGTCTGAGAAAGCATGCATCTTATGATCACGTGATAGTGATTATTACAAATTTGAACGTACGTGTTTGCGTTAAACATGAAAAATAGTTAAAAGCCTTCAAAAATCTAAAATATTTACAAAGAATGCATGGCTTGGGTACATGTCTAGTCCAGGCACCCCAACCACACATTCTCTGTAATCCCCAATCTTTCTATACCGTAAAGTCTAAAATCTGCTGACTGGGAAACCAATTTCCAATTAGTCATTTCGAGGATGAGGGAAAAATGGAGTAGAGTTGGTTTTTATAGTGCACTGTGGTTCTGTTTTGGGAGAAAATATTTCGATAGCGTTTATTTTGTCAGCTAAAAGATCCCTAAAATACACTGTGATGCCAATGAGAACAAGCTTTTTTCCTCAACCTCGGAATGGTGAATACGCAAGACTAATTGAACGCATCTTATTGTTACATTGTGTTCTTATAAAACACTTCAATGTCATCGATGGTATATAAATCTTCAATGCCTGTAAAGAAGTTACAATATTGATTATATGCACAGCCAGGAGGAATGGCATAAGCGTATGGTTTATTAATATTATATTTCATTGTCGAGGCATGAGTGTGTATTTTGAGGTCTTTTAAACCTCCAAACGCTGGTCCATAGTTATGATGATGATGGTATACAGCTATGTTGGTTTTTATTATGTTAAATTTCTGAGGATTGAAGCCACGGATGTTGAATAAAGTGAATATGAATGACTTTGTAGAATTGTAGAAAGTATTGGTACCTGTTAATAAATGGAATATTATCAGATAAAAAAGAAAAAAATTATGATACTAAGGACGTTAATGAGCAAAAGATCCTAATCGCCATATTTCTTCTAAATTTTGCATCATAATAAAAGTACATTTTCTCATTCTAAAAGTAACATGAGAAAATAAAAATTGCTGGGGGTCACTGGCAGTATGCAAACATGGAAAAAAATTGTTATCGCTAGTCACAAGAAGACCGTCAAAAAGAAATCTTATTTTCCTGACATATCTTCCCAATTTTTCACTGAGCTATAGAAAATGACCCAATTTTTTTTCAAACGTCAAGCTGGAAATTAGAACTATGTGGCATTCTTGATATTTTGCTTATCAACACATTGGAATGATTGTGACGTCATCACGTTGAACACGCACGCAATAAACTATTGCATAGAAAAGCTGCGCGCGAACAATGAACACGAATATTGTTAATGACTCAAGCGAGCAAATACGTTTGGCATATTTTCCTTAAAACTTTGCATGGTGCAATAAGATTGTCATAGAATTTAGAAGAGCGAATTTTAAAAAATGGGGGATACCAAACCTAGGGAGAATAGATCAAGTATCAAAATCATTTTTTTGTAGAAAACATAAATGGATTGCTAAACGTTTCTTGAAACAACCTTGGAACGTCTAATAACTAATAACCTAAAGAATACTTTTATGTGTAAATGATTATGAATGCCTATAAATAACATGTAGTTATTGAATCGAATTTACAGGCAATTTTCAACATTTGCTTTGCCTGGCGCGACGTAGGTTGAAGTTTTCATCTAAATACCTATTTTCATTATGAACTTTTCATAATTTTCTTCAAATTTGATACATTATTGATAGCTTATCTAGCAGCTCATTTTCATCAAACAGTCACGTGCTGATACATCACTCTGAGAACAAATCGATTCAGCTAAAGGCCCCTTCATTTACGTGTAGAAAAGGTTGTGACGGATAGCAAACAAACTTTAAATTAAAGATTTGATCTGTGTTTTTTCTGACATTTTTTTCGAGTTAAATATTATTAAAGAACAGAAATCATTTTTTTAAAATATATTCACCTTATACAAATACACCTTTAGATATTTAGAAATATCTAAGCTTTTTATTGCTTCGTATCTTACAATCGAAAGTATCGCACAAGGGAGAAATAGGGTTTGGATATGACATTCGTAATCCAGCAAAATTTAATTAGATAAACAAAAAAGTCCGAATTTTTTTGCTATCCAGTAAGAGTCGTGTGTTTATGTATTACAACTGGCGTATTTTTTATCTTCCAGGTTGTTTACGAGATAATACCCGCGAAAGGACATGAAACATGTTAATCATTTGATGTTCGTATTAACTTACTTGGAGACGACCATGGCACATCTGTGTATCCACCCCATATGTACTGGTTCTTCCTTACTAAGGTAACCGTAGCTCCTTTACCGTCACATTGAGGATGGAAGGTTCTTGTCACATCAAAGCCGTCGTTCTTGCCCGACCAGCATCTTGTCCATCGGGTGTTCACGACATCTTCGGGTACTTCATCCATGAAAGTCTTTAAAGCGGCATGATAACTATAATTGCCATAATCCCTGAGCATGTCTGATTCCAACGCTAATTATGGAATAAAAGGAAAATTGAACCATTGCTTTGTGAACCATTGCTTTGTGAATGGTAGAACGAAGGATCTGAACGAATGGACAAGCGAACGAACAAACGATTTGATCAACAAACGAACGAATGAGCAAACGAGCAAACGAAATAAGAGAAATAAAAAAATAGATGCATGGATGCATGGATTCGCCATGGAAGAATTGACAACCAACGTACCAATCGTAATCTCTGTACAGTTTCTTCCGTTTCCAACGTAACCATCTTTGCACGTGCAGTTGAACGAGCCAATGGTGTTGGTACAATTAGCATTGCCACTGCAGTCATGCTGTCCTGTGGTGCATTCATCGACATCTGTTAAGATTCAAAAGAAAAGAGTAACACTTTTAACAAGTGTGGAGAGCGCTGCTAATGCGCCGCTTCTCCCTAACGCGACCTGGGTTCCGTTCGCGCACTCGGTGTCATCATCCTCTGTTTCCGAAGACTGAGCTATCACTCCTTGCATCTTCCACGTAAGATAAATTACTTTTTTTTCCCATTTACAATTTTACACTACAATTACAAAATACGGTTCTTAAATCTATTTTGTGTCATACCTTTGCAATACTTGCCTTCGTAAGGAGGTCTTGGGCACAAACATTCATAGGTGTCGTTATCATAGTTAGGAATGCAAGTAAAATTGTGAAGACAGGGAGACTTGCTGCATTCGGACTGAAAGAAAAATTATTAAACTAATGTTTACAAATTCTTTTTTTAGGAGAATTTTTAACTTTTAGTTTTTAATTTCTTTATGTTCTTCGTGATCTTTGATCAATTAAGTATGCGTAGTACTATACTCTCAGAGCCTACAATCACATGATTATATGTGAGATATGGAGTGCCTCAAGAGACACGTGAAACACATCGCTTATCAAATTCCCATGACTTGACATGAGCATTTTTGCGAATACCCGTTTGCTAAAGAAAAATGCTTTCTACTCCTTTGGAACTAAAAATTAAGAGATTGTTCTCGCCCTCTGCCACGAGATAGCAAGAGTAGACCTTATTCTACTAATATGTGAAGTTTGGAGCAAAAGTAAAAAATATGTTTTGTTCCTCCGCTTGAAAGTGGGAGGTTTATCAAGTAATTCCCGGTTATACTTCTACCGGAAGTCCCTAATACTTCTTCCTGTTTGAAGTGGAAATCATTCAACTTAGCATCTGAAGAATGACTGAAAAATGTACTAAGAATGAATGAAGTGAAGAACATTCTATTAAAAAATCCTTATCGACCCCGATCGACCTCTTCAAGTTTCCCTGATATTTTGGTTTTAATGGCAAAGCGTGTAATTGTAATGCGACACACACCGACACTCGCAACGCTCAAAGCACTAGATTTTCCGAATTTTATGAAATGAAAACCACCATAAATTTAGAAGAAGTCCTTAAGAACACACAGCAGCAATAGATGCTTAACAAAAATTAAAAATTAAAAAATAATCTTTTTATCATAATTTTGCAAATAACGAACTTTTTTCTACCGCTTTACTATTTTTAAAAACTGTGTGGGAATCCATTTCCAGTCGCGTTTCAATCTTTGACGATAATCAACGTGGTCATCCCAATAAGTCTTTCGTAAAACCCTCCTCACCAAGGAGCTCTCTCAGTAATGAATTTCTAGACAATGCCATTGTTGGCAAGGAACGTTTGTGACGCTGATGTTTCAATGACGTTTTTGGTTTGTGTTCCTAGTTCTTGTGTACCTGCCTTAAAGGTTTTAGCGTTGTCTGAAAGAATATGTTATGGTACACCTCTTGCTTCTAGCATCGTCTTGGACGTGATGAAAATAATTTCAGTGACTCCGCTCTTCCATTTTCTTGCATAGTGAAGAACGAGAGCAGTAGCTTTGATTGCTCGATTTATTGTGCTGCATTTTGCAGTGTCGATGGTGTTTAGTATGCTTGGATGTTCTTCTTTTGTGGCAGTTGAAAACTTCATTTGGATTACTTCCATGTCAGCACTGGTTGGTGTTCGATTCCGGTCCTCTGGCCACATTTGCTCTGGTTGCTTTACCATCATGGTGGTCCTTCAAACCATAGCTTTTCTTTGATATATAAGGGTTTGGTATTGACACCTCGAGTCAAAGTACCTCCAGGTGTTTGGGTTCTCGCAACTTTGATTAGTTTAGTGGGTTAAGGTTATTAATCTCCAGCTAATTTACTTTTTGTTGCTATCAAGGCATTCATTTTCTTGTTTTCATTGGTGTCAAAATACGGTTCACATAAAAACGTAAAACTCTTCATATGGATAACCAAACATCTTTATGTAAAGGTAAGCTTAAGCTTATAATTTGCTCGGCTTTTTGAAAGAGTTTTCAAGTCTGTCTTTTGGATGTCGATTTATCTTTAAAAAGTTGGGAAATCTTCAAAATTTGGATTCTAATGAAAGGCATCCAAGGTAAATTTCACTAAATTTATATTTTATTGCATTACCTGTAATTATCTTTAGTTTTTCAAGTAAAATTAACCAGGAATTCGAAGCGTAAAAATGTCGGCTATGGAAAACTTTGTCGTTAATTAACAAAACTAGCCTCTAGGATGGCTGGTGATGAGTTATGCATATGTTACAAAATTCCTAAGTGGGAGAGAATAGTAAGGTCGAAAACAAAAACTCGTGCAAAGGAAAATTATGTAGTGCATTTCAATTTGATTTTTTCACTTCATAGTTTTCATTTTGGGGGACATTATCTTCATCTCGAATAAAAAAAATATTGAAGACTTTTTACCCGTTACATTTTAACATTTCAGTTTTATCTAAATTGGGCTCCATGTGTCCATTATAAGCTCCGCTTTTAGGCAGTGCCTAAAAGACCTGTATTGTTTTCAACTGCTTTGTACGAGTTTGCGTAATTTATTAAACAATAACAAGTGGATGAAATTAATAATAAAGATATCGATAGTGAAAGATCTAGAACTTGTAAAAATTTGATCTTAATAGCCAAACAAGAAAATTTCAATTAACTTAGAACTTTAGCAAAGCTCTGTACTTTACAACGGTCAGAAGAAATTGCGCAAATTCAATTGCTTACCTATCGTGCTTYGTGAACCCGTGTCGATTGCACACCACTGAAAATATGATCAAACGGAATAGAGCGCAAGCAGCATGCGCGGTCAGAAAAGCAATGAGATTATAAAAGATAGCATAGAACATTTTAAAAACAATCATAATAACCTCAGGTTTTTTTTCTCAAATAAGCTTACTTCGGGTTCGTAAACTCGAAAATGTCAAAACTTGCTTGAGCAAACACTTGACGAGCAAATTTCCAAAGCATTAGGATGTAACGAATGAAGTATAAAAAGAAAAATTATATCATTCTGTAAACAGTTCAAGCAATAAAATCATATTAAACTTCATCTGATTTTATTACAATGAAAGTGGAATTTTGATAAAAACAAAGTTTTCAAAAACGGCGAGCATTTTCCAGAAACCGTTTCTAGGGAAACGAATATTAGGTAATGAGAATCGGAAGCAAATCAGGATCACTTCCCTTGCTTTTCCCTTCATTTTTCGAATTGAATAATAGTAGAATCGCGATAAAAAACTAATTGCCATTTTGAGACGGCAATACCACAAAATATTGACTGCTAGTTAGGAGAAAATATACTATGCATTGGGCTCCGTCGCTTTGCGACTCCGCCCAATACGGAATATATTTTGCATATAATATATACTTATAGAAATCACGATTAGGCCCCGTCCACACGTATCCGAAAATTTTTGTATCCGCAAAACAAAATTTGCGGATACAAAAATTTCCGGATACGTGTGGACGGGGCCTTAGAAACGTACTGAAATTTATGTTGAAGGAATTCGAAACCCTGAGTTGAGAATACGACGTCATCAACTTCCTAATTAGCGTAGACTTATAACTTGACTGAATTTCTCTCGAACCAAAAATGCTAACAAGAAATGCATATGCAGAACTAGCTAAGGCCTCGTCCACACGTATCCGCCAATTTGTTTTGCGGATACGGGTTGCGTCCACACGTGTTCGGAAATGTTTGTGTCCGTATCCGCAAATTTTACGAAAACGGATACGTGTGGACGGTGAAAACGATTCGAATACGCTGCGTGTGGACGCAAACATTTTCGTATTCGCAAAAAATAATTTGCGGATACAAAAATTTCCGGATACGTGTGGACGGTGAAAACGATTCGAAAACGATTCGAATACGCTGCGTGTGGACGCGAACATTTTCGTATCCGAAAAAAAAAAAATGCGGATACAAAAATTTGCGGATACGTGTGGACGGGGCCTAAAAGAAGTCACAAAACAATATTGAAAACAAAACTGTTGAAGCATACGTTAAACGGATTTAGTTGTTTAGAATATGACAAAGTACAGACTCACTTCCTTACAAGAAATATTGAGCCATATTTTTTCAGCCATCAGAAATGAAATATTCTATATCATATTTGATTTCTTTTTTTTTTTTTTTTTCTAGAAAACTGTATATGCGTAATTGATTTTAGTAGCAGCAGTTAAAATATTGTCCTTTAATAATTAATTTGCTGTTCTCTCTGTGTTATTGTGAATAATTCATTGTGCGAAGTTTTTCTTGCAAAGACGACAAGGAAGTTTAAATATACATACTTTATTTGGTAATACAGGTCAAATATTCAGGCAGCCAAGGGCTGACCGATGTGGACATGTGTACTAAACTAATTTATACTGATATTAAAAAATACTTACATTTACATATAGTTATAGAATTATATAACTCTTGACTTCACCAAGAAAATATGTTTCAAATTGAACTTTCAAAAAGCTATTTAATGAACTTTAGTAAGTAACTTACCATCAAATGATTGTTCAAACTCCTCATATTTGATTCGGCGAAGTTAAAAGGCAAATTTAAAGTAAAGTTTTGCTCAATCGTTTCAAAACGTAGGGGCCGTATACATGATTCCGGAATGAGATTCATTTCGGAACGAGTTCATTCCGGTTGCCATATTTGTTTACATGATACCAGAGTAAAGTTTCATTCCAGAACGGAATGAGTCATCCCGGTTTTCATTCCGGAACGAAACGCTCATTCCGGAACGATATTCCATACCGTTATCATGTAAACGTGGAACGAACACTCATTCCGGAATGAAACTCTCTCTGGGGAGAATGAAACAAATAACGCATGCGTATCAGACATTTCAATGCGATCGTAGCTTGAACTCGTTATGTGGATTTTTCTCATGTAAACGCGATATGAAATTTCATTCTCGTTCCGGAATGAATTCATTCCGGTATCATGTAAACGGGCCCTTAAGTTTTTTTTTAACTCAAAAACATATTTCCTTTCCATTATTTTTAAAATAGCATTTCGAAAAACTTACCCTGATGCTGTAGTGATTAAAATCTGAATTCGGACTTTGAAACTTGGACGAAGAGTTGTATTTATCAGTCGGCAACATCTCACAGAGGTACTGGGCTTTCCCTTGGTAAAAGAAAATTGGCTTTTTTCCAAAGTTGATGGATAAACAAGTCAGGTTACTGGCACAAGCAAGAAGACATTGTTTATAGTTCTGGGCGTGGAACTGGCGTGTGTCGTCTACTTCTAATGTACTGTTTGGGTGAAAAAGGAAGTTAAGATAGCCGAACTCTGGTTTTCGGTAATAAGCCTGTTTTCCAACATTGAAAGTTATTTTGGTTGAGTTCGCTCCGCTGAAAAATATAGCGAAGCAAAGTACCCAAAGAATAGTAAGTGCCTTCATGTTTTTCTGATTCTCTTAGCAAAGTGTTCAACCGATGACTAATATCTTCAAATGATTGTGAATCCAATTGCGGTGTCATATAAAACTTGAAATCCTGTCATCACCTGTTCCAACGCTTTGTTTTGAATGTGAACAAGAGTTAATTTAAAATGCAAACATAATTACAGGGGGTAAATACAGTTATATTGAAGTTTATTATTGTACGTAGTTTTCATTATTATAGATGTTTTGTATCAACCACGTAATACTTTGTTCTTAACCAAGCTTTTTATTTTCAACTATAGTTACTGTATTCTATGCTTTTTGAATTTACCTCGCGCTCTATTATTATTTTCAATACCCTGATGGTGTAGAATTATCTTCGAAAGCTTGGAAGAAAAAAGTATTACGTGGTTGATACAAAACATCTATAATACAGTTATGTTATTTGAGAAGGGGAAGGGGGCGGAAAATATAGGCTTAATGGAAGCAAAAGGAAACCAAAGGGAAATATTTTAAATGTACTTTCTTGAAATGATGTTTTCTGCGTTCTAGGCCTGAATAAACATTATCCATCGGATAAATCCTTATCCAGCTGTTGAAGTTTGTCCAGATGGTGTGATAGTTCAGTTGCACAAAGGTTAAACAAAAATTTTCCACTGCGTTTTATCATATGGAGCTTTATCCACTTGTCAGTTCATATTCGAGTATAATTTATTCAGACTTTGTACAACGGGCTCCAGCAGGGCAACTGTTCTTAGAAATATTGAATATTGTTCTTATTTTAATTATGTTTCGCCTAGCACAATGTTTTTTAGGCCTGTTCTTGGTATACTCGGGCTTGCTTCGGAGAAAAAGGTAAAGAAATTTTTGGTTGAAAGTAAACATTTCGATAAATAGTTTTATGAATATTTTTTTAAAGAGAGGGAGAGAGAGAGAGAGAGAGAAAGGTTTGATTTCTTTATCCAGTGAAAGATTTACTTGGAACCAAGGCAGATGTAGTACTTATATAGTAGTGCTTCTCACCACAGGCGTCTGGGGTTCTATTTTTTTTCCGGTATTCCCTCCTCCGCAAAACACGCGAACAGATTCAGTTATTAAATATATTCCTTGCACAAAAAGTTGCTCTTGCATTTCAACTGAATATATGGGTGGCTTTTGTATATTCTAGGCTTTGAAGATTCGTTTTCAATAATGAATGTTCAAATCGAATAATAAAATCAAGAATCCAAAAATAAAGTCATTGGTTTGACTGTGATTTTAAACTACTCCTTGGTGTAGTATTCATTATTATATGGCAAGGTAATTTCACGCGCTATGATTGGTCAATTTGCGGTCCATAACTTACGGTACGGACCGAAAAATGAAATGGTTCACTGAGTGTACGTACTTATGATCTTTTAAAACATTCAAATCTTTATCAAAAAAATATATATCTGGATGAAAATCGTCGGAAAACCTTCAATAAATAATTAGAGATAACTGAAAGTCACTGGCATTTAATGTAAAACTTATCAAACAAGCGACAACTCTTTCATACAAGCGAAACTCTTTCGATCAAGGCTCTACACGGCACTAGTTGAGCGATTTTGTACGACTAGAAAAAACTAGAAAAACTAACTATGCTAAAGCTAAAACTATGTCAAACTACGAACTAAAGGGTGATGAACAGCGGCTAATTCAGTAAATGAAATAAAGATAGGTTTACGAGTAGAATTAACGTAAATTTGTTATTTCAGTGAGCTAACAACGTCCAGTTTGAACTTATCTGAATCGATCGGGTGAAGAAGCCAGTAGTTTCTTTCGTAAACGTTTTAAGCAGTTTTCTAGGCTCATCCGCTCTTTAAGTATGTCCATATTTCAGTAATATTTCACCCCCACTTGAATTTGAATGTATTTTTAGACAGGAGAGTTGGCAGTACCTTTTTTAATTGAGTCGAAAGTGTGCCTTCTTCATGACTTCAGACATTGTACATATGGCGGCCTGCTTTAAACAGTCAAAACGTTGAAAATTGACGAAAACTATCCATGTTCAGCCAGCCGTAATTTTCCAAAGCTTCTCATTCATTTCTGGAGACAGTTTTTGAGTTTTTTTCTCAATAAAAGGCAGGAAAACAAGCGGAAGGCTGTAGTATTTTWCATCTTGGTTGTGAATATCTTGAAGTTTGAAGTACGACAGTTTTCTTCTCAATCTCATGTTGAGTTCTTGAGGTCTTCTTTTGATGCCTTTTTTGCTCTGCATTTATATGTTTTGCAAAAGAAAGCCTCACTTTTGTTAACTAGTATTTCAGAAAACTTTAAACTTTAGCTAAATTCTTTCAAAGTAAACTAAAACTTCGCCTTTTGAGCGACTCAAACACTACATGACTTTTGGAACGTACAGGAAGCCCTTCCAATGCAGTTCTCGTTTGACATGCGCTGTCAACTTTACTTTTTGTTGCTTCGCCTCTTTTTGATCTCAATGCCTTGCCATATAATAAATATCTTATTAACCTCGTTTGCTCGGTCTGTACCGTAAGTTATGGATCCTCGTTTTTTCCACTTTTTTATGGCCCGCGCGCTACGCGCTTGGGCCATAAGGCAGTGGAAAAAACTCGGTCCATAACTTACGGTACGGACCTCGCACTCGGTTAATAAGAGCTATGTATTACTTTATATTGATTTGAAGTTGAATTATTATTAACAACTTTTTTGTTAACCAACTTGCGTCATAGCTTTTCCAATACGTGACTACTTCCATAGAAAACAAAACTACCAGCACGAATATCTCAGTCATTTAATACTTCAGCACGCCAACACTTCCTAAGACAAAAAGAAATGAGGTGTTTGAATAAATAATAGCGGATTAACTTCAGGTACTTTTCAAGGTTTTCAACTGAAATTTCAGTTCATGTTTTTTGTGTTTAAATGCAATCTGCTTTTCGTAGCCCATGATACTTTGCATTTTTGGGGGTAACTGGTCAAAAACGGTACCAAAATTACAAACGTTCATGTCAAACACATGAAATAGTGTTTCCGTCCTCCGATTTCCAAACACCGAGAAGTTAGGGACTGTTTATATGGATGCGAGCCAGCCTAGTAAGCAGGCTAGCCCGCTTTACCGAAATCTCGACTCATCCTACTTTCTTTTTAAGAGCGACTGTCGGTAAAAATCGACCAAAATCGAATGTTCATGGCACTAGTCAAAAAATCGATTTCGCTCATATTTTGTTTTTCAATAGCCCTTAGTGTGAAATAAATAGAGGTGTTTTTAGTTTCGAAAAAAATATTTCTCACAGGAAATCTATTTCGCCCAAATGCACGGAAAAAATAACCGCCGAGGTCAAGTAATTTAGTGCAAAAATAGGCGCATCCTACAGCTAAACCACCTAAGGTGGAACCAAACTAATTCAGAGCAAATTTTGGACAATTTAATCTCGCTTGCTTAGCAAACGTAGTGCGTCATTTAAACGGAATTTTTCATATAATGTGTCTAATAATTCAACATTCTAACTATGTATTTCATTTCAAGGGTTTTTAAGTTTTTAGCCTGTTATGGCCGAAGAAAATCAAACAGTGCTATTTTTAATTTTTGGCTTTTTTCTCCTCATCCTCAGGTATGATTTTTCTGAAATTTTCAGAATCTTATCATCTAGACTAAGGCAGCCTTTATATAAATTTGGATGGAAAGTCTAGGGCAGGAAAAAAGTTATGACGCCGCTTGATTGAACTTCGATTCAAAATTTGTTGAAGCATATAAGAAATTGCGCTGTAGAAACATTGGCATTGAATAGATTAAATAGAAGGGAGGTGTTCCTAAATAGCTCACCTCGTCGATCGAAAAAAACGCTCACGGTCGTTCCACAAGTTCGGGAGAATATTTGCATAACGAAACGTTCAATGTCATTGTGTTTATGCAGAATTCTGACGAACCTGTCACGAAGTTAACCTTGTGGAATGTCCGAGAGCGATGTTGTCGACCGATTTTTAATTGAATATTTCTAGCGGGGTGAGCTCTTTAGGTACACCTCACCTTAAGGTGGCTCCATGGGGTTTTATCCTCGAGCTACCATGCAACTTCAAATCGCAAATACGCGGACGCAAATAATAATAATAATAATAAATAGGTGCTTTTAGGGCGCATTTCTAACCTCGATGCGCCTAACGATGCATATTTCTAACCTCAATGCGCCTAGCAACGCATATATATATGATTAACTGAAAAATCAAACAATTCAATACTAATTTTATTTTTAGACATTTCAAGGGAAAGATGAAATTTTCGAATGAAAATGTTTTTACTGAAATCGGAATTAATATTAGATCGCTGTTAAGCGTTGGTGCGTTTGCTTTATTGCCTACTTTCTCCAATTTTTGACCTAGGTTTTCTTATTTAAAGAAAAACTTTTTATTTACTGAGGGTATCCAATCTTTCCAGATTTCAAAATCTAAATGCTCGCTTTCCAAAGTTCGTTACAATAAATAGTCCGCCGGATGCAGATCGCGCACAACCTAGTCAATTATACAAAAATTATACAAAATAATCATTTCCAACGCTTAAAACCAACTGATTTATAATCTGTACGATCTAATGGACAAGAAAAAATATTTTGACAGTCATCGAATGAAACAAACAATATATAAAGCGATTTTTCTGTTTTGCATGGTTATTTTGTATTATGCTGACAAAAGAAATTCAAACTAGGCAATCAGATCACAGCAGTTGTCATAGAAACAGAACAGCCTTCCCTCTCTGGAAGTTCTCAGAAAATTCAAGATGGCGGATTTTCATCTTAAAAATGGATTCAAAAATGCTAAAAAAGTCAAGCTTCATCAGTTGAAAACAGCAAAAAAGGTTGAGAATGGCAAAAGGAGGACTCCCTGCTTGCTATCTGAGAATTAAGAAGGAAAGAAAAAATCAGTTGGGCCATTTTACAGCTGTTCAAGGTCCGTTGACACGAAAATTGAAGCGAGAGACGTTGAAACTTGATGTTGAAACTTTAAGAGCTTTCGCCTACTTTATCCGTAAAGAGGTAATAATACTTCTGTACAAAGAAAGCAGCTTATTCAACTTTCCTCTTAGTGTTTAGGAATTGAAAAAAGAAGGATATTTGATGATGATTTATGTAAGTTTTGCAGAATTTCTTCGCAATACGCTTACTTGTTTTCTCAAAAAATGTTGAATATTTGAAGTCTTGAAGATAAAAAAAAAAAAAAAAAGATTTCTAAACATGTTTTTACTTAAATAAAATATTGTTTTGTAAACCGATTTTTGACAAAAACTAACGAGTTCTTCGCTTGGTGCATTTTTTCCAACAGGCCTTTTTTCTATCTAATTTTGGTTCGAAATTTTTGCATCTATATTCGCACTCACGGGTTTTCAAAAAGCTCAAATAGCACTCGCCCTATTGGACTCGTGCAATTTTGAAAATTTTGAAACCCCGCTCGTGCAAATTTAATCCAAAGTGCACTCGAAACCATGCGATTTCCTATACAAATTGTTGTATTGTGTGTGTTTCACTAGTTTGTGAAAACCACTCTAGTGAATCAAACTAGAAATACGTTTGTTAATTCATGAAGTCACTAAAAGATATATCTTTTTTCAAATATTCTCCTTTAATTTCATATGCATTGAAGGATTTTAAGGCAGTCAAATAAAAATAAGTACAAAGTTGTGAACTTGCGAAAGAACTTCATTTAGAAAAAAATCGTTCGACGATTTTTTGAATGCCGCCATTATCGATATTTTCTATCGCTTTTGACAACAAATGGGGTCATTTAGCTTCATATCAAAAAATCCATAACGTTAGAAAAAAGTCACAATTTGATCCATACTCGTATTCGAATTCATGAATATACACTAGCCATCCTGATGACGTAATAGGTATTATATAAGGTAGCATAAATTATATAGATGTGTCACTTGACGCGAACCAAGTTCGAGAGAAGTCACTGTTTATGACTTCGCCGTTCGTCCAGCAGAGATGGCCGAGAATGCTCAGCAAATGATTGCCGTTTTAGAACCCCCTTCATCTCAGCCGACCACTTCAACAACTACAGCTTCAATTGTTACGCCGCTTTTGAGTTCTTCAACCTCGGTAACAACAACTACTTCAAGTTTAAGCTCATGCTCGATTGCCACGGCCACGGAATCTTCATCGTGGGGCTCGATCTGCGACTCATTTCATGGAGAAAATTACCAAGCTACAGAGGTATATCTTAGTTTTCTTAGATTTTACAGTGTTTTTTTCTGTTTGGGATATCCATTTTTCGCGGTTTAGGCTATTTTGCTTCGCTTGCCGTTGATTTTGTACAACATGGTTATGCTAATTAGTAACGGTCGATAAGTGCAGCTATCTGTTTATGCCATGCTTTCATTGTTGTATTGGGGACAGAGGAGCCCGTTTTGGCATGAGGGGCCTAACTCTATTTTAAGTTCATGTAAGGCCAGAGGTGCCTTAAGGCTTGAGGAGCCTTGTTTCAGTTACATCAGAGTAAAGTATGGCCTGAGGTGCCTTGAATTGAAAGGGAACAGTGTGAAAGGAGAAAAAGATTAGTGTAAACATTGTAAATTATTATAATATCAAATGATCAAGCAGTTAATGTTCAAGCTGAAACTCAAAGGGAAGTGGAGGGGAATTCAAAGTGAAAGTGGCCAGAGATATCTAAGACCAGAGGAGCCTGAAGTTGAGTGTATAGAAAGTGATATTAGAATTTATGGAGTTTCCCTGCTGCTGGGAGAACGCGTCCATATGCTCCATACCTTCGTGTTCGTGGTCCTAGAACATGTTTCATTTGTTATCAGGAAGGGCATATTGCTCGGTTTTGCCCACATAACCAAGCTGTTAAACGCTATTGTGTACGGAAAATGGCTGGCACTTCGAACGGAAATGGAAATGAAGTTGATATTAATGATATGAATCAATTAATAAACTCTACAGTATGTAGCAATTTCTGTTGTTTTCTTGAGAATCTATTTAGGTTAGTTAAGTGCAAGAATATGACCACAACGAGTGCTTTGTCCTTTAGGGCATACCCTTGAGCCCGCATCAGCGAGTTATTCAGCTGTCATCTTCTAGGGCTTGCGGCTTTCATGTTTATTATCTTCGCCGGATTTCAATGTTCCTTTTCTTTTACGTTCCTAGTTATTCACCAGAGCCTGTTCTGACTCGGTGCGTTTAGAGCGTCGTGGTGTAAAGAATGAAATAAATTGGATTACGGCTGATGGAGACCCAAGTCCAGGAAGAATGAATGTCAAATGAATGATGCCAAACGAATGGTAATTGGACTGTATGTAAAGAGAGTATGTTTGGGTGTGTCATCATAATAAGGTTGGGGATTTTACTAGGATGTCATGCTAATAGGTTGGTCTTTATTTGGCGAGCTCACAGGTAGCCCAGTAGAAAAGACATTTTACGACTGACCTTCACAGGCAACCCAGTAAAAACTTCGTTGCGGGATATCATTTTGAAAAAAACACCTAGACATTCTCTCGCTCACTACGCTCGTGAATTTCTCGCTTCGCTCGAATAAAAAACTCTACAGCAGACAAGTCAAGTATTTTAAAGCCTAATTTTATCCTTGTGAAAATGCCCCCCGTAAAGAATTGACATCTTTAACATAAAAAGGTACCCTACTTTGAATATATTAGCTAGCTTTTAATGCCGGAAAATGTTCGTGGATATTGATATCAATCCTTAATGCTAATTTTCATGAGGTCACTCGATATGTGACGTCATAATTGAAAAAAGTACCTAACATTTAGGCGGTGCCGAGTTTAGCTATGTACAGGGAAAAACTAAATACGGAAAGTTCATGAGTGAGCACGACGAACAGCTTTACGTTTCTAATTTGCCTAGTTAGTATAACCAAGTTTTTCAAACGACAATTTTTTATGGCCTTGAAGTAAAGTCTATTTATAGAGTCAGTATGTTTCACTTATTCAAACTCGTGACCGCATTTTAAAATAAAAACCGAAACCTTATACATCTTGAATTAGTCAGGTGATCACTCTTAATTCAACCCGAGATCCATCTATGTACCAATTTCCATCAAAATCTAATGAAGTTTGTGGGAAGAGAAATAAAAACGTGTTCGTGAAATACTAACTAAATCGAGAGGTCGAATTTAATTGGAACAAGTCTATCAAGACTGTACAGTCCAAAAGGAATTTCTGGTTTATGAGATGTTCTTAAAACGTACAATCAGACTCATTCAAAGCTAGGGTTTTCCCATAGGTAAAGCGTTGCAGGATAGACTGGAATGTATTATTGGTTTATCAGTAAGTACTTGCAACAATTCAATTGATCACTTCACTCTTAAAAGCGATGTCTGATTATGATGGCGTCAAAACGCCGAGAAAGTTGCAATAAACTTTTCGTCATAAATTTTATAATTAAAACTTTCAAAACAAAATCGACCTCAAGCAGATAGTACGGAAAGTTTGGAAGGTTGGTCAGCTTTCTGCATCTCATTATTCTTAAAGTGCTACTCTGACGAAAAAGGCTCCAAACGCGCCAAACGACGCAGCAGAGGAGCGCCTCGAGCATGATGGGACAGGGACAGGGAGCCCACAAAGAGATACAGGTAAACCAGGCTATCCACTTCTATAAGAAAGTATGTAGTAAATAGATTTTGCTAAAATTTTGTAGGTTTCGCTAAGATTCTGGAAATAAAACTTCGAGTATATAAAAAACAGAAGTGTACTTACCGTCTGTGGTTTTTAAATTAAAATTTGTTTGGCACAACGTTGTCCCCACGAGGATTGAGTGACCACAGGCAGCCTAAGCTCTGTATTTCACTTTCTTTTGATCACATTATTTTGTGGAAAAAGAGAATAACATTTACCGACCTTAGTTTAAAGTCTTTATCTGTTTGTCTCTATGCAATGTACTCAATTTCAGACGATTTGGACGGTTTTTCTTTATTTTATCCATCTTCTTAAAGTGCTACTCTGACGAAAATCGCTCAAACTTGGATTCAGCTGAAACTTCCTAAGAATACTCTTTAAAGGTCCAATAATCACTGTATGAAGTGTTTTCTCGATATTCAGGACGAAAGTATGATACTTTTACGATGATTTTTTGGAGTCTGTGACGTCATACACTCAACATCAAACGTTGCTACATATATTTCTTTGTATATAAATCCTTAATTTTTTTTTGTTTCTATGAAGCCCAGAGGGTGGCTAACGTGGGGAAAATGTTGTGTCAAACAAATTTTAATTTAAAAACCACAAGACGGTAAGTACGCTTCTGTTTTTTATATGCTCGAAGTTTTATTACCTGTGTCTCTTTGTGGGCTCCCTGTCCATGTCCCATCATGCTCTAGGCGCTCCTCTTCTGTCGTTTGGCGCGTTTGGAGCCTTTGCTAAGGCTTCGTTGAGGTGTGAGTGGGCAACGGTAATATTAGTGTTGATCATTATAGGCCATCTCAAGACGTCGAAATACCGTAAGTGATATCGAATGAATGATTTCTAATTCTATTTTTGATTATTTGATATTTAGAGTGTGATATCGGTTTGAACTAAGCACGAAATCAAGCATTTTGATTATGCAAACCTAAGGACTTTATAGGCCTGTGGCATGTGTAGAAAAACTAGAATTTCCTCAAAAAAATCGTCCTCGATGCCCTTAAGGTTAATCAGGCTAGACTAGAGAATGCAGGGCCAAATCTGAGACGAGCCACTGGCACGTCGGGCCGGTAGTGAGATAAATTTATTCAAACTGATTCACGAGCTACTGGAGCTACTGGTAGCGAGATAAAATTATTCAAACTGATTCACAAGCCAGGCTCTTCGGCTCGGTAGTGAGATATTTTTTCATCAAACTGTTTCACGAGCATCTGGCTCGTCAGACTCGGTAGTTAATTATTTTATTTTCAAACTGATTGTCGAGCCACTGGCTTGTTTATACCCTCGCAGCTGCTATCACTGTCGTCACGCAATGGGCTATTGCATTTATGCACTAGTCAGTTGTTTCCACCCCMCCCCCCCCCCCACGGGACATAGTGGGGGAATTGGAAAACGAAGCATGGTAATCTTAAGTGAAAATAAAGGAATAGAAAAAACTTTTAAAGAGCACTCTGACAAACTGTCAAAACTTCAATGGTTTATTCTTTGAGCATGATGCGCAGAACCATTTTTCCGACTTTAAGTCCTTTCTTTAAGTCCCATACACTGGAGGTAAAGCCATTCCATGGGACATTCTGTAGATTGGGAGTGAACAGGAAATTGGGAAAGAATGTGTAAAAGTGTGCACATTAGTCAACTCAAATATATGATAGGAGCAGCTAATTATATATTATATTTTTCATGACAAAAATAATTTGTACCTTATCACTTTCTTTTGCCCTACTTTTTTTGTAACGGAGTTGGAGAAAAGTGTAAATTAAGAAAATTATTGTATTTTTTTGTTAGTTTGTTATTATATTTTAGGAAATTTTCTAGAATCTTCAATCTTGAACTAAAAACAATTTACAAGACCTTTTACATCTTTTGCATGTTTTAGTATTGCATAAATGTCTCAGAAGGTTGTGACTCCTAGCTTCTTTAACATATCTTTACTTATTTCTGCAACCATTTTCTTTTGCATTCGATTAAAAATGGAAATAAAACAATTAACAAACGCATTAAAGTTTAAGCTTTGCTATTTATTCATAAGAACACAATACTAAAGTCATCTTTTGAAATGTATTATATACATATATACCTTTCATTCGTAAACTTTTCTGCGTAGCAATCTCCGACTGCATCTGCCAGTGAGCACTGGTCAAAAAATCTTTCCAAAATGCTTTTAATATTCCTCTCTGTTGATACAAAACACTTGGGTTTATAGGAATTCAAAGATGTAAATATCAGATCAACTACACCAAATGGTACATCAAGTAAACACCCACACATAAGAACCTAAAATTTAAGAACCTGTTAGCCTAAAATTATCAAATTATGACCCATTTTTATAAGAACCTATTTAGCCTAAGATTTGAAACAGGTTCTTAATTTTAAAAAAACCAACCTTACTGGAGAAACGAGCATATCTGGTATTTATCAAATAATTTCCCCAGAAGGAGAAGAACTGAGTTAGCTTATAGTTACAGTATTTCTCCCTGTATTGCTCAGCAAATTCCCCACGTCCCACCTTGGGGGGTGGTGGAAACAGCTAACTAGTGCATTATGTGATTTTTCGTATCCCCTCATTGAGGACCGTGGAATTCTTCAGGGGTCTGGGGTATTTTTATGATGGAATTGTCATGGGGTTGGGGTTTTTTTTTCTGCTGGAATTCTTCAGGGGTCAGGGTTGCTTTTGTGCTGTGCTGGGTTGAGGACCACGATTTTACATGTATTCTTTAAGGTAATGTCATGAACATTAGCAAATAACCCCAGCTTGGTAGTAAAATGCGCTTCCCCTCCTTGTATTAAAAGGACCTCTAGGAGAATATTTGGTTTGTGAGTTGAGCAAATCATTTGTGTGTGTGCATATGTTATTTATATGCACAAACAAAATATTCTTGTGCATACAAAATGTTTGGTTTTAGTTGCCTGTCAATCAGACTGGCAATTCAACTGTGTTCCTAAAGGGGCACAGGGGCAACTTGCAAAGAACTTGTCACACACAAAGGTTTCAGTATGAGGCTAAATGCTCAGGCGGTAAGAATAAATTTATTTTAGCTCGTAGACTCATGCTGAAACCTTTGTGCATGACAAGCGAAGCATATCTCGCTGGTGGGCTATTGTTCACATGCTATAATGTACTTGACATTTGTTGGTTGAGGCTTAAGACCAGAAACAAGCACTGATATTAGGATATAAAATAGGGGTTCTGCAACGGGTGAATTGTGGATCGACCCTATAAAATGATGTCACACTCCTTATAGCAACGTCATACCTCTTTGGATAGGTCACATCTGTTTTTAGAATGACACCCTATCATGATGTCATATCTCCTTACAGCCCATCAGCTGCGTTGCGGACTTTCCTGTGCCACCTCTTGGCTGTATTGGGGAAAGTCATATCTATTTTCAGAATTATGACGATTCTTCTGACGTGTCGAGAACCAATCAGCGACCGTTTTGGAAACTCCAGAGTGATTTCCTTAGTGGCCATCCTGGATATARGTCATATCTATTTTTAGAATTTTTTTCAAATATCCTGAATTTATCTAATTGAATCTTTTATTTTTCACGCTCCCCATTTATCCAATTTCATTTTTAACTTTTTGTTTTGGAAAGTAGTTACATGTATCTTATGCCATCCTATTATTCTATATTTTCAATCTTAGGAATCAACACTCAAATCTAGTAGTATGAGATGTTACTTGATCCATGATCTGATTATAATCTACAATCTATTTCTCTTTTGTCCATTTGGGTTGTTAGAATCCTGACTTGTATTTTATTTTAATTTTTTTGTTCAAACAGAGACACTCCATGATTTGTCTTATTTATTAACATTCTAATAAACCTATGAAGTTTTACTCCTCTTTTTTCTTTTATGAGACTCTGAATTATTTTTAAAGTTGTCCTTCAATAGAATGATATGACGCCACACACCTAAAAGTTTCTAAACTTGTTCGAGATGAGGTTTGTGTTTCCTCATTTGAGGTATATAATTAGTAACACACTGATGGTGTTGACCACTATTTATTTAAGTTCTTGGAAGTCTCTTTCAATAGTAAACTTTGGACTTTTTGTATTCATCATCCTTCAGAAAATAAGATAACAGAAGATAAATTCAGACTCTTTATTCATCGTACTTAAGTGCCTATGAAGCGTACCAGGTTTTTGATCATTTCTTAAAGTATGACATCTGCAATGTAAAATTCCAAAATTTCAGATGATTTAAATAAAAAACCTACGATTTTATAGAGATTTGAATTTTCCAATATGGGCTTTCAAAAATGGCTTTTGAGTCGAGTGGCCAAAATATCACATGATTTAGGCTTGTGATGTTACTTTGGTTGCAGTCTTCGCATATCAAAACAAAATGGCAGAGAACAGACCAACTCAGAGACGAGGAAGATATTGTTTAGCTGGTGCTCCAAATCAGTGAAGCTGTAAAAATACCACTTTTACACCTAATGTAAAAATGCATCAGTTTCCTTCTGATGCAGCTATTCTGGAGAAGTGGGTAAAATTTGTGCAAAGACATCAGCCTGATTTCCGGGAGCCATCAAGCAAGTATGCCTCACTGTACACTATTTAGTATTACTAAAGTTTCATTGTTTGCACTCTAATTTAATTCAATTCAGTTCAATTTCAGTTTATTTACAGTTTTTTTCAATTTTATAGAATAGAATTACAAGGAAATATATAGTTTGAATAACATTTAAAATATTATACGTGTACTATAATTAACCTATTATAGGTGTAAGTGTACGGCAGCCAAAGGAGCTAAAGCTTTCTAGTTGCCTGTCGTGATTTTCATTTGGTGTCAATATAGAGGAAAAAAAAAAAA